CCCATGACGATTACTTAAGTGACCTGAGGCAAGTGCCTCGACGAACTCTGCTTCAGATTCGAGTCATGTTCTGCCAAAACTCAAAAGCTTACACAGGATAGGAAACGCTGGAGGCACTGTCTAACTCTCCTGCCACCTGATTCGGTAGCATACGCGACCGGAATTCGTCGGAATTCACTGGTCGGCCCAAGCATGCCTTGCTCTGGCTCATAACTCAGCTTTGTAACCATCTCGAACAGAGGGAAATCGAAGCGTTTTTGATAAACCGGTGAGTGTTCAAGATTATTGAATGGCCTTAGACAAGGTCCCATGGGTGTTCGGTGTATCGGCTGTTTCAAAGCTGTTATCGAAATCTTGGATTATTTACGATGTAACGATAATTCAACTTTGCTCTACTTTTTGATCGCTGGTATTTTTGTTCTGCAATTGTTATCACAGGATGTGATGTCGCATGCTGATAAATCTAGCTCGGTACAGATTTTGTCAAATAAAATTTATACGTGGGGCAAACCCACTGGAGATTTTGGAGGTGATTGACTCAACCTCTGAAAGTTTTCGAGATATGCACCTGGGTTCCGAAAATTAGTGCCCTTCGAACACCCCATTTTCACGATGGCGTCTGTCCATCAGATATGCAAATGTATTTCCTCCACCTGAGGTCGTGCCACGTGCCTGAATTTAGCCAATTAGACAGAATTAGTCACAAAAGAAGTCTGTCGAGTCGCATATGTTCGACGATCAGCCGACAAGACGACTGACCTAGCAAAAAAGCTGAACAAAAAACATGTTGCTCGAGCGTGTCGCTTTTTTTATTCGGTAAAAAAAAACGTAGGAGTGATCCTGCAAACATAAAAAGAAGTTTCAATATTTTTATAAACACGTCCAAGAAATGTTCAAAGCCCTTCCGCTTTGGTCGCGTGTTTTCACTGTTGGGTTGTAAATTGTACATTGAACGCATTTACGACAGTGCTGTCAATTTGCTTCAACGGAAAGCGAAAATTGGAGCAGCGCGATATTGACAGCAGATCGTCAGCTAGTCGACTGGCGAACCCATTTTAAAGTGGAATGGATGTAACGTTAAACATTAAGTTTAATTTTTTACACTTTTCATATTTTTCCCACGGCACGTTGGACGAGTGCTATCTGCCAGAGGAGCATCGCATTGCGATGCACGTATTTTTAATAATCTCATATAAATGACTAGATGCAGCATTAAGCCCTTGCTGTGATGAGTGGACAGCAGTCAGAATGGGACGCGATGGTGCAGTGGCAAACAGATCAGTTTTGAACTCCGGAGGTGCCAATTTCAGATCTCGAGAACCAGACTAACTGTGCTTAATCGCAGGTTCCTCTGAGCAAAGGATTTACTCAAAGCTAATTCGGTGCGACCAGCCAAGAGACGGTTAGCACGTCGTTGATTTGAGAATACTGCGGACAACATGGTATTCTGGTGTGGTCATAAGAGAACATGAGATGTACGACTATGCTGTTCAAAGTGAGCCTCTTGTGGCTGTTCTCCGCTCCGACTCACCTGCTATCTAATTAAAAACTAGTATTACTAATAAACA